GCCAGGAGTCCAGCACCTGCTTTTCCCAGAATGGCAGGATGCTAGTGAGGCATTGAATCCTCTTCTAGCACAGCTTGAAGACATGGGATATGCAACAATTCCCTGAAGAACTTCTCAGCTCATAGTGAGGTCGGACCTGTGAGAGATGAGAGTTGAAATCCTTCCTTCACTACGGTGAGTAACAGAAGGTGTTGCCCTAAAAACTATTTATTGTAGCAGTGAATTTTATAAACCCCGACCATTTAGTGGATCTAATGGATCAGACTACACATCCATCCTCTGCTCATATCAAATGCCAGAACTGTCCCAAGAAAACTGCAGGACACTGTGCAATTGCCTTCTCCCCAGAAACAAACTTCTTCCTAATCCTCATTGGTTCCTGGTTAGATTTTTCCTTGAAACTAAAGGGCTTATATCTTTTAGAAGTGTTTGTTCTATCTCCACAACAGTCCAGAGTTCTCCTTAATAAAATTCACATTAAAAAAAAAAAAAAAGAAAAAAGAAGAAAAGAAAAAGAAAAAGACGTGATTAGGACAACCTAATCAAATTAGATCAACTATTCTGGGAACAGATATAGCACATTTCCTGGCCACACGGTCTCTCCTAAGCCCAGGTGCTCCCTAAGGTCCTCCTCCATGAGGGCCATCCCACCAGCATTGTAACATGCAAAGAGCAACAGCAGCAACCAGCAGCAGCGCAGAACCCAACCACTCTTGTAAATCCCACTGTCACCACCTGGAAACAAAGGCTTAGGGACCCACAGCCACGCAAGCTTTTTAAAAATGCTTATCAGGTTTGATTTGGCTTTGGAGCTAACTGCTACAAGATCTCAGCCTCCCCTTCCCCTCTAGCAGTCCAGACACTCGAGGACAGCGAGAACATCCCAAACCTGCGCCACCGAAATGCTCCAGCACTATGTTTGCAAGGCCTCATCTTCCCAGTACCGTCAGCAGGTGCCAAATCAAACAAGAAGCAGTGAGCACGGTGCAGATGGTGGAAATGGGCTTCTCCCCACGCACCAATGGAGACGGAGCGGTGCGTGGCACTGGCCCGGCAGCCCCTCCTTACCCGAGAGGCACTGAGCCGGGACGGCAAAGCGCTGCAGGTGCAGAAAAGCCTTGGAGCTCAAGTCTCCCCACGGATTTCCTACGTTCCTTCCAAAGTCACAATATTTTAATTGATATTTCTTGTGAGAATTCAACAGGTGCAACATAAATCCCATGGATTGTGCTGAATCCTACAAAACCTTGACTTTAATTTTGGAAGGAGGAGGGGAGAAGAGGAGTTTTCTTGCTCTTTGGGTTTTTAGCCTTGAGCTACATGAGACTGAAAAAATGCTGTATTTGCTCAAAGTGCTGCCAGATTAAAATAAGCAGCTATTCATCTTATTTTTTTTCTGAAAGGATGGTTAACTCATTGAGAAAAACTCATTGACTGCAAAAATACATTCAATTACAGCAGAAGTACAGTAGGGACAAACTTGGCTTTTCCTTATATGTCCTGGAGTGTGGGGCAAAAGCTCCTACATCCATTTCTGTCCCTTCAGACATACTCTGCAAAGCAGATGAGACAGCAGCAGTTTCAGGAAGACAACCTTTGGATTTATGGATACACACTAGAACCCTGTTAAAAACAGTTAACAGACCCATTCTGCTACGGTTTTAGTTACGGGGTGAGAGGTACTAGCAGTAACCAAGGTAAATGTAACAGCATATGATATCTTCAGCGTTAAGTCTTCCTGTATCTCCTCTTGGTTCATTCTCTACTTGACCAGTGGGTCACTATCTTCAGGGCTCCACACAGTACATAGATAAACAATGAGCAGCTAGTGAGCCAGATGTTGGAAATAAAGACAGACTTCCACTTCTCATTTTTGCAATTGTCCATGTATCATATTTCTCTAAGAAAATTCCTGATAAGGGTTTGTTAGAGGGTTTGGAGTTTTTTATGTTTTTGTATAAAAAAGGTTTTATAAACTGTTAATCTACTCCAAAACTTCAGGCCACCTAAGAAGACCATATTTCTAGCACTTACTTAGAAAGTGAGCAAGCTGATAAATTGCAAATCTGTGTGTTCTTTTCCACACTCCTATAGCCATTTCTCTGCTTTTTTACCTCATTTGCAGTTTGGTTTGAGTGCCTGGCACTGATGCCAGGCTAGTCTAACAGTACCCTATAGGAAAGAACAGAGGTCTATCTGCTGACAGATGTCTATCAATTGATGAGGGAAAAATGCTTTTTTCTTTTAAAATTGATACTAATGCTCATCACCACGACAACAGCAACAATAAAACTGCAGGTAGTAGTAATATAATGCTAACGTTGATAATAATAACAAAGAACTTTGCTGATAACATACTGAAAATCTTTAAAACTGTTCAGCCTGGAGAAGAGAAGGCTCTGGGGAGACCTTCTAGCAGCCTTCCAGTACTTAAAGGGGGCCTACAAGAAAGTTAGAGAGGGACTTTTTACAAGGGCATGTAGTGATAGGACAAGGGGCAATGGCTTTAAACTGAAAGAAAGAAGGTAGATTTAGATCAGATCTAAGGAAGAAATTCTTCCCTGTGAGAGCGGTGAGGCACTGAAACAGGTTGCCCAGAGAAGTTGTGGATGTCCCATTCCTGGAAGTGTTCAAGGCCAGGTTGGATGAGGCTTTGAGTAACCTGATCTAGTGGCAGGTGTCCCTGCTCATGGCAGGGGGATTGGAACTACTTTAAGGTCTCTTCCAACCCAAACCATTCTATGATATCCTATAATACTAATTGCACTTACCACAGTGAGACATATGATTTTTAAGGCAGAAATAACAAATTAAGTATAGGGGACAATCCCTCCATTCTTTCCATTATATGTACCAAAGAGGTACTGAAGAGGTTTTTCACTGAGGATGAAAAGTTGAAATCTCAAAAAATTTGGTAAATTAAAATCTAAAACAATCCAAACCACAAAATATGGGTCAACACAAGCAAAATGCTTATCTTGCTCCTTCTTGGTGCCTTTTGTCTATACTTTGGCTTAAAAGCAGACTGAAAAAATTTTCATTAAAAATGAAAGAAAACTTTAAAATATATGCTTAAGTGTTTAAATGCATTATTCTGACTTCCTAAACATTTTTTTCCTGATTTTTAAACAAAAAAATGAGGAAAATGGATGTTCTCTAACAGGTAGTACATGTTCATGAATCCAGAAGTTTTGAAAAATAGACAATTTGGAGGAAATTCCTGCTTAATTCTAGGCCATCTTTGCCCTCTTCTGAAAGACTGAGGAACTCTAATACCTGGCTACCTTTTACTGTACAGGTCCCAAAACACATCACTGTAGGAGTCAGCACTGTTATCCTCATTTCCCTTAGTGGAAGACTGAGGGACTTGCCCAGGACAAGCAGCAGACCAGCCATAAATCTCAAATGAGAACTTTCCCCTGCTAGTCCCAGCTTGGTGCTCTTCGGTCTTTGCTGTGGGACAAAAAATGGGTCTCTGAACTGATAGTTTATCTCTAGCCCTGAGATGAGGTTGCTGCTCCTGATTTTGGAAGAGATGGTGACAGTAAGGCCCTGCTCTGAGGACCAGGAGAAAGACCAGCACTTCTCCAAAGGGAATTGCTGTGAGATGTTCTGCTGAGTGACTCAGGCAATGCAGAGGGGCCCAAAGGGAGTGGGACCAGGCATGTCCCTCTTCATTTCCCCCTAACAAAGTAGATTTATCTACAATTATAAAGAGCACAAAGTCAAAAGAATGCTACCTGAGGTTTAACTAGGGAGAAAATGGAAAGTTTAGATAAAAGTCTTTAAAGGAAAAATAATGAGGAGAATTACAGTAGACGCAGTTGCTATATGGACAAGGCAAAATATTTGACAAGGAAAACATCTCTGAGAAGAAAGCACAAGGGTAGAGCTATTATAGCCTCTGAGGCCTTTTCCCTCAGACTTCTTATTTTATAACATATTTCTAAAACACAACACCCACAACTGTTTTTCTTCATCTATCAAAGCATAAAATTGCCAGTCCTTTGACCTAACTTAAATGAAGGAAGTAGCAATGTTAGGTTTAATTAAAAACAGCAAATATTTGTACAGCTGTCCCTGGTTTCACAGCACAGAAATAGGTTTAGCATCAAATCTTACAGTTTTAGATCCCCTGGGAACCATATACAAAAACATATAGGATCCTTCTGGCTGACTTGCCAAAGCCAGAAATGCCTTTTTTTGGAGTTATTTCAGGTGGGGCTCATTCAGCCTTCCCGTTTCCAACCCACTATTTTTCTACTTGAGATTTTTCTTCTCTTTTTTTCCGTGCTCCAAACGTGGTACTGTCAGCTTGACAGGTTTGGATGCATTTGATGCATTTTAAGGTTGTGAAGAATAATAATTATAATGAAACTGAGGATAGGCTGAGAAGTTTTGACTTACCAGCAACTGTAGCTTTTTGGTGGAAATCCTGAAAGCTGGACCTGGCTGGACATTTCCAGGGTGTCTCTGCCTCTCGGTGTGGGTGTCACCGGGAGGTGCCTGGCACCCTGGCACGGGATGCAGGAGCATCAATGAGATCTGCACTGAACATCCCTGAAACCGGGTGGGGTTTGGAATGAAAGGTTTCACTCCTGGCCCTTGGTCTCCTTTTAAATTGCACATCGAAGCACGTTGTAAAATCTTTCCCACCGAGTTTCATAACGCAGCCTCCGGAGGGCTGACTCCGGGTGCACCCCACCCCCTCGGACCGGCCAGCCTTGGCAAGCCCGATCCCAGCAGGGACCGCGGGAGGATTTACACCACCTCAGGCAAAAGGCTCGCCGGCCCAAGATCTGAACCCACCCGCCTGTCCCTCCCGGGAACTTGCAGGTTTCAACCTGCCGAAGCCAGCCCTGGGACGGCTGGAGAGTAGGGTGGGGTGGTTGGCCACCCACCACGGGGCCAGAGATAAGAGGGAAGAGGGAGATAAGGGGCCAAACCGGGTTTAACAAGCCAGATCCAGGTCTGGAGTGGGACAGGAGGTGGGGAGGCTGATGGCCGGTCCAGCCGCTCTACTTGTGTCCATCAGGCATCAGGCAGGGGCTCTCCGCACCCTCCAGGCTGCCACAGCCCCCCATCCTCCCTGCAGCACTCCACAGCCTTCCCACACCCAAACCTTCAGCACCGGCAAGTCTGGCCCAGCTTGGCACAGTCTGCGAGAGGAGATGGAGGTGTCTGAGCCTGGTGGGGCTCAGGAGCTGGAGGAAGAGAGAAAAGCCCCACAGAAAAGACCTAAGGAAGGAGAAGAGAGAGGAGACCTATCTCCTCTCAGCCCAGGTGAGCCCAGGCCAGAGAGGCTGGCCCAGCCAGGGCTGGCAAGGCATGAGACACTTCGAGAGACAGCTCTGCGCAGCAAGATGTCCCGACTAGTAGAAGCAACTTCCCGGCTTGTACAAGTAGAAGAGACTCTCCTTCTCCCTCTCCTGCAGCAGCATCCTCTTCCTCTCCATCCAAAAGTAAGTAAGACAGAGACAGAAGTATGCTTCTCTTGGGCTTTTGGCAGAAAGACAGTGGACTGCACCCATAATTGCATGCGCTGGGTCTTGCCATGCAGACTGGAAGAGTTCCATTTACGTTAATTTTCAGTTAAGCAACTTAAGCCTACAGCCTACAAAACAGAAAACTATTGACAGTTCAGTGTAGTTGCTTCACAGGGGTTCATGGGATAAAAAAACTTTTTGGCAAAATGAAGTCTTACTGACATGCTAAGTAAGTAGCCTGGAAGGATTATTTAGAGCTTTTTCAGAAGCCAGCTTTGTATGTCTAAATTTCAATAAATACACATAAAGTCTTAAACTATAAAGCTATTGTCCAGTTCTAAAAGAGCCAAAAAACAACACAAGATGCAGAGATGACCAGTAACCTGCAAGTGAAACATGACCAACCCTCAGAGCCCATGGCTATTCCAGATTGGCTCACTATATATCCCGCATATGAGACCCAATTAACATATACGTGAAAAAATCCTTAATTTTCCAGTAAATACCATGGTTATGCATATTACTCCAGGAAGAAGTCTAAGGAAAAGCCTAGGTATGGGCTTGCAATTCATGGGTTTAGTTGTTGTGGTCTAGTATGTCTCCTATATCTTGTTGCAAGTCAGTTTACTTTGGCATTGCCCAAAACGTCTTTACCTTATGATGAGTCTTGCGTGGCAATTCTTATCCAATTTTTAGTACCAAAGGTGCATGCCACAGAAACCTCATTGGCAGTAGACACCAATTGCTGGGCCAGCTGAGCTAAAACTAGAATCTGCTTTTTTACTTCTGTGTCAGCCTTCCCAGCATAGACCAGCACAATGTGGGAAGCTGGGGGATAATGAAGCAGCAAAGATATAACCACTTGAAGTCTCATCTGGTGGATAAATATTTGTGAACAAGATTTTGCTATGACTTCTGGTTTCTCAGTATTTCGGTGACGAATTTGAGATATCACAAGATACTGTTTCCATGTGTGCTAGATCCATGTACTGAGTCCAGCTGGCTTTGTGATAGTTCACAATTGGTTAAAAAACTAATCCAAGCAACCCCAAGTCAACATACAACTCACTCATAAACTCAGTCACCAAGAGTCAGAAGCAACCTTCAAACGCTTGGGTCCAAATATTGCCAGTCTCCAGGAATATCCGTCTAAGAGTCCACTGGGAATAAACACACCTAGGGATAGAAGGGGTGATATTGGAAGCTATGCATGACGTAGAAAGAGTATGTTAGAAATCACATAAAATTGTTAGACATTATTCTTCCAAAATGAGAGTACAGTGACAGGTTGGGCTTCTGCAACACCAATTTTCCAGGAAGACTTCTTCATTGATCGTTATTTAAAATAAACAAGGCTAATGACATTTGGGTTTTGTAAAAACAAATGCTAGCTTGATGAAATACAGCCACCTCAATGAAGGTTTTATTTTTTTCCTCTTCTTTCTCAGGCCTACTTTAATATCTACTTGTATGAAAGCATGTGTTTAGATACCATTGGGAATACAGTTTACTTTGGATTCTGAATTTCCTAGTCTACTTGAAACTAAGTTAGGTCTTTTTTTTTTCATTGAAAATCCATTATAATGACCTGTTGAGCTCTGGGACTTTCCCCTCTTCCCTTCTACAAGGAAGTTACATAAATTCTTCACTAAGTTTCCTCAGATCATGCGTCACAGATAACTGGACCCCTTTAATTGCGAGTAGTTTCACTGCTGCAGTTTTGATTTCCAAGTAAATTGGATTCCAAGGGATCCATTTATATTACAACCTGTACATAAATTCAGATGAACAAGCCCTTAAAAATAAGCTCTAAGCCAATGAGCTGGCCAAAGTCCTTTCAAAATGGCAGCCCATGGTAGCATGTCCTTCCGCACACTTTTTTTGAAGGAAAACTCTGGAGTTGTGTCTCAGAGACACTCACCCGTGCTAGTCGTCAGTATTTGATAATTCTCATTTATTGCTACGGTTATGTCTCTTTCAGCTCCTTCTAGACAATCCTGACTTTTCTGTTTTCCATTTGTTTTAGAGTTGTTCCTTGTTTTCCTTTTATTAGTTTACAGTATCAGTATTATAGTCCTCAGCAATTAAAAGGTGGGTGTTAATTTCCAATGAGAGGTGACACCCATGCAAGAATTCGGAGCAAATCCTTTGCTAGCAATAGCAAGTGCGTTGTTTCCCATTTTGTCTGCGGTACAACTGCAAAGAGCCTGCTTAGCCAAAGGGTCTGCATGAAGATGGGGAAGGGTGAGAAGCTGGGACGCAGGTGACCGCATCACCCCACCGCCTAACCAGCTGTTTACTGGCATTGCACCCGCGAGCAAACTCCTCGCGCCTTCTGCCTCCACAAAGACGCCCTGTAATAGTGTCCGTGATTTCCCTCTCCCATAATTACACACTGCCAAAGTGAACAGAACAGCCTTTTTTTTAAACAGCGATTCTGTATTTAAAGCAGCGATGTGAGTGTGTTTGAAAAGGAAAAACGCGAGGTATAAAAGCTTCCCGAAATAGCAGCGTGCGGCTTGCCCTGGCTGTGCTCAGGTGCGGCTATGCATTACTCCGGCTTTTTGATAACATCCTGTCTCCTGTGCCGAAGTTACCGAGGGGTTGTGAGGACGGTGCTAAATCAGAAATGTGTAGCGGATTGGACTGGGCCCATCTCGACGGCAGCCAACGGGGAATGGAATATAAATCATGCTAAGAAGTTAAAATAGCCATTCCATTTGCAAAACAGTCATGGTATTTTCTTTAAGGGGGAAAAGCAAATAGTGTCCTTAAAAGGTGCCAGATTGGCAGAGTGGGATAATAAAAAAAACCTTCTGACTGTGCAAGTTTCTCCTGCCCCTGTGCTACGGTGCTGCTGCTCTGCCCAGCACGGAAGAAGAAGGTTGGGGTGGCAGGCTTGGTGCTCCTAGCAGAAAGGAGTAGCATCAGCAGACCTGCGTATTCCCTTGCCCTAGATCTCCCTTTGAGGTGAAACAGTGCAGTTGCTCTGAAATCAGCCCAGTGGCACTTAATTTGTACAGAGAGTCAGTCACACCACCCAAGTCGGGGCATGAAGGCATCAGGCATCACTGACTTTGGCCACAGGTGAACCGAAGTCCTGGAGATGTCCTGGTCCCCAGGAGAGGAGCCAGTGAGGGCTGGTGCAGCCAGGCAGCTCAGCCAGCTGCTCGGCACAGCATAAGCCCAGGGCTCTTCACCCAGGGGATTCGCACATTTTG